CAGAGTGTAGATTGAGTGAAAATAGAAACAACGAGACTTGATACTTTATTGGATATGCGAGTGTGAAAGAATGAGAAAGCAAGGATGACACAGAGATTGTGAAATCAGGGGACTGAAAGGATAGTAGTGCCCCTGATGGAAATAGGGAAATTGGGAAGATGAGGGACTTGGGGGGCGTGGGGAGGGAAACAGGAGTTGTTAGGATATGTTTAAGGATATGTTTAAGATAATTTAGAGGGCAGCTAGGTGATGCAGTAGAGCCAGGGCTGGGCCTGAAGTTAAGAAGACCAGAGTTAAAATCTCACTTCAAATTCTTAATAGCTGGGTGACCCTGGGCCAGTCATTAACCTCTGTTTGCCTCAGTTTCCACATCTGTAAAATGGGGATAATAATGGCACCTACCCCCTGAGTTTTATCGTGGGAATCAAAGGAGATAATAATTGTAAAGCACTTAGCAGTGTCTCTGGTGCATAGTGAGCTCTGTATAAATGTTAGTTTTATTATATGTTGAATCTGAGATGCTGTGGGGACATAGCACAAGAAATACATCTGTTTGTCACCAACACCAATATGTAATGGCAGAGCATATGGACCCACGTTTCAGGGTAGACTGGAGCCAGTTAGGATGGACTGGAGCCTCCATGGCCCTGAGGTGCATGTCCTTGAACTCCTAATGTACTCAGTAGCCAGCAGGGATGAATAAGGAGCTGAAAAGGGAGATACTTCATATCTGGCCTCAGAGGAGTAGAACTTTAGTGTTTCATCTCTGTTCCTGTCGGAATTAAGAAGTTATGCTGTGCCTGACAAGTGTACTAGGACCTCTCCATTCTTCCCTAAAAGAATAGTCAGTTTTTTGCTGTTTTTCAGCTAGGAAAAGGGTGTGCAGTGTGCAGGGTACTGGGTATTTGTCTGGACTGGCCGTGATTAATTATAAATTCTGTACTATTTGTAAATGTGTAAGTTATCTACATATGTTTCAGGGAGGGCCTCAGGCAAACTGACATAGGTATACCAAGGAAGGTGATTTATCCACAGGACTTTCAGTGCACCTGAGGAATTTTCTCTCTCTTTCCCTCTTTTACCTGTCATTTGCCCCCCTTTAAAGTTCTTTTTAATGGTGTAATTATCTCAGGATAATACAGACTTGGAACCATCACAAGGGACAGTCACCCTGGCTGCTGTAAATCTATCCAGATAACAATGAATAAATTAGCACGTATTTATTTGAAAGGAAATTTGTCTAAGGTCTAAAACTGCCGTTTGCCTGGGAAACCTCCCACCACAGTAGGACCCACGGGGGAACAGATGAAAGAAGACAGAAAGAAATGGAATTGTTCCATTTATCTCCCCAAGGGGAAAATGCAATCAGACTGAAGAGAAACTCTCCTACTGAACACATTAGCTTTATAACAGCCCTTCTGAGGGGTATGGGGTTGAGCCTGACTGGCAGAGAACACTGACCTACTCAGTTCCTTAGAGAGGCATGTTCCTAAACTGAGGGCCTCACCTACGTATTTATTATTACAAAGTGAGTGAGAGGAGGTAGGAGGGAAGGGCTGTGTGTCTACATGTGTTTGCTGCACAGTGGTGCTAGAGGTACCTTCCCAAAGGCACAGAGACAGCAGACTTTTTTCTGTTCTTTTCCATGCCCAGGATTTTGTGCAACTAATAAAGTCAGTTCAATCATTATTTTTTACCTTTGTTGTTGTTCAGTTGTTTTTCAGTTGTGTCCAATTCTTTGTGTCCCCATTTGGGGTTTTCTTGGCAAACACACTAGAGTCATTTGCCATTTCCTTCTCCAGTTCATTTTACAGATGAGGAAACTGAGGCAAACAGGGTTAAGTGATTTGCCCAGGATCACCCAGCTAGTCAGTGTTTGAGGTCAGATTTGAACTTGGGAAGATGAGTCTTCTGATTCCAGACCTGGTGCTCTCTCTCCACTGCTCCACCTAACTGCCACTTATTTATTACTTGCCAGAGGTAAATCTTTGCTTACTCTGGTGGAGAAGAAAAGTGGCTATTTACAATTAATATAGCTACTGAATAGTAGAAACTTTCTGTTTAGGATAATCAGGCCTAGAATTTATACAGTACTCTTTAAAAACAAACTAAAGGGTTTCAATGCATTACAAATATGTTGACATTCTTCTCCTTACCTCCTTGTGAGGTAGGGAGATGAGGAAGATGAGGAAAATGGGATCCCCAGAAGTGGCTAGCCCAAAGTGTTGTTGCAGTCTGAGAGGTTGAGACCCCTCAAAGACCAAAGTACAGGATGGGGTCATCTGGAATGAATTCACAGACTCAAGCGTTCTTGGAGTCAAGTTGGCAAGGATTTATTGTTACGCTATGTAGTGGGCAAGGATTCTTAAGGAACCTGCAACCGTAGAGGGATACAGTTAAAGTTTATATAGGATAAAATATAATAAAACACATGCCAGATATGCTAACTAGGTGATTCAGGATGGGATTAGGGAGTGGTTAAGAAGTGGTCAGTTCTTAAAGGAACCTGCACTTTTTTATATCTACTGAGAAGGCGTTTTACCCAGAGTTCACTAGGAAAAGCCCACAAGCCTGGGGGGGGGGAGTGGGGTGGACCATGGAGGTGTGGTTTTAGGCCTGCAAAGTCACTAAGTTAACTAATGGTCAGGGGTAACTGAGAGTTGTCTGGTCTGCCGCCAGTCAATGTCTCGTTAAATGAGATTGACTTTAGGGAGTATACATATGTCTTAGGTCTAGAATACAGATAATGAGGAGTCCAGGATGTAGATAATGAGGTAGGGCAGTAGTATAGATAGTCCAGTGGGTAAGAATATGACCCAGTGCAAAGCCAGTTCAAACTAATAATTCCCTCAGATGATGTTTATAACTGTACCAGGGAGAGATAAGGGTCTTGCTGGGGCCCACTCATGAGTAATTGCTAGGCACAGTGTCCTTGGGCTGGGGAGAAACTGCCAGGGATAGTGTTTCTGAGGCTAGGGAGAAACATGGTCATGGAATTGGGGTCCGAGTACAACCACCCAAGCACCCCATCATTGTCACTATATATTGATTGACATCTGGGCAAAAATGGGTCTCCTTTCTCTACCTAGCCCAGGCCTCTTTCCTAGATAGAGCTGGCAGCCAGACCTGAAGCAAGAAGTGGTGGAAAAAGAAAAAATCTTGAAATTTTCCAAATGTTAATCCCTGCTCCTTGCATCTGGCTAAACTCAGTACCTAATATTTCTTGTGCTAGGTATGCAATAAGTGCTCAATAAATATTTTTAATTGATGCATATTAAAACAAAATTCCAAAATTATTTTTTAAATTGCTATCAGAAGCTCTTTACTTCAGAACTGGAAACAATATGTTCATTGTTATCCATGCTTGTTTTCCCCTATCCAGAGAATAAAGCTGTTTGCTTTTGATTCTGGTACAGTCTAAGATTATACCGCCTCACAGTAGACCTGAAATCCATTCATTCCTAACCTTCATGTAGTTTTTGGTGATTCTTTATTACATGGATTTAAGGTAGAAAATACAGGGGGGAGGGGACCAAAAACCTAGGTTCAAAGGTCAGTAGATCTGGAACTGATGGGGACTTTAGAGGCCATCTAGTTCTTTCATTTTAATAATGATGATGATGACAATTTGAATTTAGCACCTTAAGGTTTGCAAAGTGCTTTACATCCATTAACTCATTTGACCCTTGTGGCAACCTTCTAAGTTAAGTACTATTATTATCCCTATTTTACAGATGAAGAAAAGGAGGTACAGAAAGGGTAGATGACTTGCCCAGGGTCCTACAAGTAATCACTGTTTGAGGCAGGATTTGAACTTGGGTCTTTCTTACTCCAAGACTTGCCCTCTATCCACTAGGCCACCAAGTTTCATTTTAATAAAATAAGAAACTGAGGCCCAGGAGACTGTTCTCTGTCACTCACTTGTGGTTGTGATTTTTGCCTAAGTCTTTTCATCTCTCTGGCCCTGTATCTTCATCGTTAAAATGAGGGAGTTAGATTAGATGACCTTTAAGCTCTCCCTTAGCTCTAAGACACTCTGAATCTTTGCCTTCATTTCTTTCCATGTGGGCAGCCAGAACAGAGGAAATCTACTTCAGGTTTTTCAGGTTTTAAACCATTTCAGGTAAGTGGCAGCGTACAGATGAAACAGAGACCAGAAGCCACATTGTGATCAATTCCATTGTTTTTATTTTTAATGTTTAAAGTGTTTAAACAATGTTTAAAAAATAAAAGAGTTTATAAGGACATCTGGCACATCTGTTGTGTTTTCCCTCTTTGAAACAATGCTTGACTGTTCATTGCTAAATTAATTCTTTCTACAGCTAATTCGATAATTGAACTGGACTGGGAATTATCTATTCTATGGAAGAGAGAATTGTAAGGACAGTGAATAGATTTTACATCCAGCTAGTGCGGGATAAGAAAAGAGAGTCCCCTAATATCCTGCTGTATCCCCGTCGTAGTATTTATCAAGTGCAAGGCAGCGATTTATAGTCTTCCAGGGTGGGAAGGAACCTGAGGGATACAGGGCACAACAGCTACAATCATAACGTGTTTGATTTTTTCTGTGGCCTGGATGGACCCTTTCTCATGGGAATTCATCCTTTCTTCAGTTTGGGGCAATCCAGACTCTTCCCCTGTGCCAACACACACTCACACCACCCCTTTTTGTTCTGTTCTCCCTCGTTATCTTGGCTCTCAGTCCTGTGGGTCAGTGTACCTTTATTTGCAAGGAACGAGAGAGGATCTTAAAATATCTTTGTGAAAAACTTGCCATTCCAATGAGGGGATAACATCCCAGCCAAGAAAAATGAACCAAGTCATTTCCATTACTGATGATCAGTCCAACCCTTAAGAGTACTTCTAGGGTATCCAGGGAGCTTGGACTCCTTGGAATCCTTGGATCCTATTTGGAGAGGCAGTGGATAACAGGTGTGCTTATGTGTGCTGGATGACTGCCCCATCCTCACCGCCTGGTGTTTTCTCTCTCTCCCCCACAGTCTGAGTATCACTACGAGTACACTGCGTGTGACAGCCTGGGCTCCAGATGGAGGGTCGCCGTGCCGCACACACCTGGACTGTGCACCAGCCTACCTGATCCAGTCAAAGGCACTGAATGCTGTAAGTAGCTGTCACTCCCCGCTCACCGTGCATATTGCCTCTGCCGTGTCCTTGCTTGGCACAGAACTGTCAGCTCTAAGCCCTGTTACTCCTCAGTTTCGGAAGGGGAAGGAAGTCTTGGGAAAATCAGATTGTTTTTCCCAAACACTTGGCCTTTCTTCCCCACCCCACCCCCACCCCCTTGGTAGAGAAATGTTTTTTATGATACAGACTTAATGCTTGAATTTTTTTTTTTTGGATCTTGGGGAATAAGAATGTAGAATTCCAGCTGTGCTGCATTCAGATGTTTTCTTCTTTTGCATATTTAGTTTCCTTTATGTTTATGCATTCTTAGCCTAGTCGTTCACTGGGCAGCTATAATCACTCATTAGTGAAGATTGCAGCCCATTTTCCTTCTTGGAAAGGAAGCCAGGAAAGATGGATTGCTGCAGAGGCAGACCTTTAAAGTACATTGAGTGTCAATTCAGAGAAATATAAATCTCATTTGGCGGGTGAGCCTGATTGTGCATTCAGAAACATGAGGACTTGTCTGAAGCTCACATTCCCATTTTGTGTAACTCTGTACTTAACGATCATAACCTTTCAAACCGTTGGCACCTGTTTTCTCTTTACTCTTCTGATAAGACAGGAAAAGGGGGGAAGAACTGATAATTAGGGAACTGGAATAAAGAACATTTTTAAGAGTTGGGGATGATACTGAGAACGTTTTTTAAAAATGTATATATGAAGGTTGCTCAAAGTTAGGCTGCCTTTAAAAGGGCCTTAACCAGGCCAAGAAATCCTAAGCAAATGAATTATCATATACACTAAAAAAATATGAGTTTGAATTCTGGCGTTGCTACTTAGTACCTGTGTGGCCTCATGCTAGTCAGTCAATTAACTCCCCTCCCCCCACCCACCCATTTCCTTATTTGCAAAGTGAAGGAGATGGACTGGGGAATCTCTAAAGTCCTTTTCTATGGCTGTCTATGATTTTATGAAGACATTATGAGACACAAATAGTTTTACATGAAAATCAGTGATATCTCTTTCCCTGAAGAACTTTCATCATAGGAAAGGCACCTCTCAACTGGTGTTAAAACCAGAGGGATTTTGCCTGAGGCAAGTGGAATGGGAATGAACAGTTTTAGCTCCTAAGTTGCTAAGCCTTACTAGGCAGAACCCTGTGCCTCCCGGCTGATTCTGTTCCTCTCTATTAGGCATCAAGACGTCCCCCCCACCATGTACAGCTGCCACTCATCAACGCTCCCATGAGCAATAACCTTAACAGTAACCCAGCTTCTGTTCAATTTCTTAGCCTTTTCCTGCAAGGCTGGGGAATTCCTGGACATGAAGGACCAGTCGTGTAAGCCGTGTGCCAAAGGCCGCTATTCTCTAGGCACAGGCATCCGATTCGATGAGTGGGATGAATTACCGCATGGATTTGCCACCCAAGCGACCAACATGGAGATGGATGAAGACTTCACTGAGTCTCCTGAGAACTGTACCTCGTGAGTTTAGCATCCACCTGTGGGATACTTACCCCTCAACCCCGATTCTCTAGGAAGAAGGCTGCAGTGCCAGCCAGCCAGGCATGGGCAAGTTTAGCAAGACCTTTCACATGTGTTATTTCCTTTGAGCCTTCCAATAACCCTTTAAGGTTAGCAAGGAAGGTATTATAAGTCCCATTTTATATATGAGGAAACTATGGTTCAATGAGGATTTACCCAAGGTCATTCAGTTAGTAAGTGTCTGTGGCTAGATTTGAACTCAGGTCTTCCTGACTCCAGGCTTAACGCTCTATCCACTGCACCACCTAGTTACCCATAGCTGCTTCTAATAAGGGATATGAAGATGGGCAAGAGAGAATGAGAGAAAGAAAGAAGCTCAAAAGTCATTAGGTTATGGGTAGGATCAATAACTTGACCAATTCCCTAAGACTGGCCATTCATGATTTCCCATCACAACCAGTCACTGCCACCTTTAATATAAACAACTACCCTCCTTCTCCTGCTAGATGGGTATTATTTTCAAGGAGTTGGAGGGCAAAGAGTTAAAAAGAAATTCCCATTTTAAAAACAAAAATCTTATTTGGTTTAGATACTTGTATTTGGATAAGCCAACTCATCCCTTAAGGTTTTGCCTTATTCCAGCACTTCAAAGAGCTATAATTTCATCAGTGTGCATATAACCTCTGTCAATGCAAATCACAACCTGAAGTCACTTAGTAAGCCATGAGAGAAAGTATTCTGTCCACTTATTCTTTTTAAAAAATTATCAATATCTTTTGTTTTTACATCACCTGCGTTTTCTAATGTATCCTTCTTTCTACTCCTGCCCAGAGAGCAACCCTATGTAATAAAGAATAAAAAGGGGGAAAATCCAGTTCAACTAAATTAACCAACATATCGAAAAAGCCTGGCATTATATATAGTGTTCCACAACCATAGTTCCCCACCTCTGCAAAGAAGCATTTCCCATTTATTCTGAATAACTTGGGAACTTTGAGTTCTAATTCCAGTTTGCTGAGTGATTACAAGGGTCTTGAAAGAAAAGGTGGACCTGGTAGCTGAAGGGAGAGGTTTTGCAAGAGTGGAGAAAAACAAATTTTCCCATTTTCCAAAAAGAGGGAAAAAAGACTGAAAACTATAGGCCGCTGAGCTTGACCTTGATTCTTAGAAAAATTCTAGGAAGTATTAAATAGTGATCACAAGAGCCTGCATGATTTCAACCAGATCAGGTCAGCTAGACCAAATCTATTTCCTCTTTTCACAGGGTTATTAGACTGGTAAAAATCAAGGGAATGTTGTTGATAGAGTGTACATCGATTTCAGTAAAGTATTAGACAAAGTTTCTCATGCTGAGATGTGGGTTAGATGATAGATGGCACAGTTAATTAGATTCTGAATTGGTTGAAGAACTTGACCCAAAGAGGAGTCACTCATGATTTGATGTCACTTAGAGGGTCTCTAGTAGAGTTTCTCAGGGAATTGTCCTTAGTCCTGAGGCTCCTTAACACTTTTATCAGAGATTTAGGTGAAGGCATAGACGATATGCTTATCAGAATGGTAGAGCAGATGACACCAAGTTGGAAGAGATCACTGGATGATGGAGTCAGGAACCAAAAAACTCTCTCTGATATGTTGATGGATCCTGCAACTCATCCATATCTCTCCTTGTATTAAGTCTGATAAATTTAAATTTGTGTTCCATCAACAGGCACTTATTAAGCTTCTAATTTGGGTCTGTCACTGGGCTAGGAGTTAGGGAAACAGAGAAAAAAAGAAGCAATCCCCACTCTGAAGAAACTTACATTCTGTTAGGGGATATGTATATATGCATATAAGTAGATTCAGAATAAATACAATATAAATACAAGGGAGTTGAGGAGGGGAAGCACTAGTAATCTGGGGGGGATCAGAAAAGGCATTATGTAAAAGGTGATATTTGAGCTGAGTCTTGAAGGAAGGGAGGGATTTGAAAAATCAATTTCACAAATATAATATGGAAGAGGCATGGCTAGATAGTGGTTCATCTGAAAAAGATCTGGGGAGCTTTAGCGCCCAATGAGAGTCAATAAATATAGTTTTTAAAAAAGCAAATGTGGGCTTATACTCTATTGAGACCCATAGTACCCAGAAACAGGGAAGTATGAAAGTCTGGCGGTACTATGTCCAGGTCAGATTACATCTAGAGGATAGGGTTCTGTTCTAGATACCTATTTTAAGGATGTCGTTGATAGGCTAGTAATTGTCCAGAGGAAGCCAAGGAGGGTGACGAGGGTTCTGAGGTCATGCCGCTTTAAAGATGGGTTGAAAGAAATGCGGATGCTTAGACCAGAGAAGAGAAGGTTCAGATGGGGCATAATCACTGTCTTAAACAATGAACAGAGCTGCCATATTTGTGCAGGAGGGATTAGGCTTGTTCCCATCAAGCTTGGCCCCAGAGAACAGAGCTAGGAACAGCCAGCGGGATTTGCAGAGGGGGCAGACTTAGGTTCTGGGTAAGGACAAACTTCCTGACAACTGGAGTTTTTAAGAGATGGAGTGGCCTGCCTCAGGAGGAAGTGGGGGATTCCTTCTCATCAAAAGGTGATCTTCGAGAAGAAACCCATTGACCACTTGTCGGGAATGTTGGAGAGAAGATTCTTGTTGAGGTTTAGGTCAGATGAGATGACTTCCTGGTCCCTTCCACCCCTGAGATTCTGTGAAACACATGCAGCCCCTCTAGACCTTGGAAGATTATCCTTGAGTCTTTTGAGTCCTAAAATTTGTCACCCATGACCAACCTGGTGATTAGTCTGTCTAAACTTACATTAGACCAATGCTTGGAAACTTGACCTGCAAGTCCCTCTCTAAGCCCTCACTCAAAGTCTTTCCAGCTCAGTAGGACCTTGAAGAGGCAGGATGGAATGGTGGAGAAAGTGTCAGTCAAGAAGATCTAGTGTCGAATCCTAGGCAGCTGGGGGCCCAGAGAATGGAGTCAGGGAGAATAAATCCTGGCCTCAGACATTTACTAGCTGGATGACCCTGGACCAGTCACTTAATCTGTTTGCCTCAGTTTCCTCCTCTGTAAAATGAAGATGATAATAGCATCTACCTCCCAGGGTTATTTTGAGGATAAAAGGAGATAATATTTGTGAAGTGCTTTGTAAACCTTAAATCACTTCATGTTGTTTTTCAGTCGTTTCAGTCATATCTGATTCTTTGTGACCCCATTTGGGGTTTTCTTGGCAAAAATACTGGAGTGGTTTACCGTTTCCTTCTCCAGCTCATTTTACAGATGAGGAAACTAAGACAAACAAGGTGAAGTGCCTTGCCCAGAATCATACAGCTAGTGAGTGTCTGAGGCCAGATTTGAACTATAGCACTACATAAATGCTAGCTATTGTTACTACTACTAGGAATATACGTAATCTCTGGGTGCCTCAGTTACCTCATTTGTAAAATGAGAGGGTTAGATTTGATGGCCTCTGAGGTCCCTTTCAGTTCTAAATCTATGATTCTGTGGCTCAACAGAGCTTTTATTTCATTGACATTGCCTACATAACACAATGAAGGGTTAGAGAAAAAAATGTTGTGGCGATAGGTCTCATTAAAGTCAGCTTATTGCTCCTACACAGAAACATACTAGGTGATGCAAAAGGCTCGGCTTTCTCCTTGGGGCCTGGCGTTCACTCCTGAGTGTAGTTCAACCAAACCTAAATGGTGGAACTCTTGGGGACAGAAGATAGCTTAAACACTATTTAAGGGTTGCCAAAGTCTATCATGGCCTGAAGGTTAGAAAATCTCTCAGCTAAAGAGATCTTTGCTAAGAAGCCAAGGAGATACAAACAGCAGTGCTCATTGGAGATGCTGGTCCATCGCTGTCATGTCTTTGGATGTTTATTCATTCAAAAATATTTATTCAGCATTTATTGTGTATTGTTATTAGCACTAAGCAGAGGCATTGTGAAGGATACAAAGATATATAAGGCATTGTACATTATGCTTTGTTAAACAGTGTTGACACTGAAAAAATGTCATTGGGGCACAGTGGATAGAGCACCGGCCCTGAAGTCAGGATGACCTGAGTTCGAATCCAGCCTCAGACCTGACACTTGACACTTACTAGCTGTGTGACCTTGGGCAAGTCACTTAACCCCAATTACCTAAAAACCAAAAAAAAAAAAGAGAGAGAAAGAAAGAAAAAATGTCATTGATGAAAAAAGAAAAAACAAACGAATATTTCCTTTTAAGTAACACCAAGCTAATATTTGTATACAAGATGAAAGGCAGTGAATCACTAGATCAGGTCTTGAACTTGGAAAACAGGGGAGGCTTCCCTCAAATTCCTTAAGTTACATCTCCTGGAAGCCCCATTAAGTCTGTCTATGCTAAGCAGAATGGACATTTAATAGAGCAATTTGACTTACCTCAGCATTTGTTTTTATGTTCTGTGGGCATTAGCATGACAACAGGTTTCTAGGTGGGTGGGTGGGGAGATGGGGGAAACCGAGACAGGCTGGGGACAAAAAAAAAGCTATAAGTGGAGACAGAGTGTATGGGGTTAAGGCAACCACTATTTAAGTCCTAATGGAGAGTGTAATTTGGTCAGAACAAGACGCAGCCTCAGCCCCTATGATCAGTTCGCTTCCGTGCACAGAAAGGCTTTCTCAGTTCTCTAGAGACAGCCCTGAGATAGATTTCAGAGATTATCTGTCAGCTCAGTTCACTGATGCAGGATGTAGGATAATATAACATCTTATATTTCTACAATGCCTTTCTTCCAGGAGTTCAGAAGGCTTCAGAGACTGGTTTCATTCATTTCTTTCACACATTTTCAGGACAGGGATTTTTACTTCCTATTAGGAAAAGTGAGAAATGGAGGCTTGTGAAGGTTTGGTGAGCTAACTGAGATCCCCCAGCAAGGCAGTGACTCAGTGGGGACTAATGCACAGAAATACGGTTTTCCAGTTCTAGTGTGTAATTTATCTGATCAGCATTTCCCAGAGTGGGGTCCTAAGATTTCAGAGGATCCTCGGTTGGACCTGATGTAGAGGGAAAATGGGGATCAAGGACCAAGGAATAAGAAACAGAAATGATGTGGTCAAGGGAAAGAAAGAACAAAGGGTTCAAGAAAATGAGGAAAGGAAAAGTCTACGAATACCAATGAAGGGATCAGAGGACAATCATTGACCTAGAGCTGGAAGGGGCCTTAGAGGCCATCTAGTGCAAGCCCCTGAGGACACCGAAGTCCATAGAAGGGAAGTGACTTGCCCAAGGTCACACAAGTAGTAAGTGGCAGAGACTGGATTTGAACCCAGCTCCTCTGATTCCTGATCCAGTCCTCTTTTGACTGTATCTCACTGCCGTGGGAAGCCCAACCTTTGGAAATCCCTGAACTAGGCTGAGTTATCCTTTCTCTTTACCAGCATCATGAAGCTAGGATTAATGACAACTAGATTCTCTCTATATTGTAACATCATTTCTCATGACTGTGCCTTAGTTTCCCCAAGGCCCTAGTGGAATTCATAGTAGGGATGTCAGTGGTAAGTAAATCTACTCGTGACCCTTCTTTGTGTAGATCTAGGTCTGGGCCTGGAAATGTTCTTGTCCATGAAGCCTTTCCTCTCAATCAGGGACACCAAGACCCAACAAAATCAAGGCTGTTTATATACAACTTGCAAATGTAACCTACTTTTGGCATCAATTTAATAATTCATCAAACCTCAGAGGTTATTTATAGCTGGTGCTGGGTGGCAAGTTTTGTCTTTTTCAGAACAGGAGAAATCAATGCCATTTAGGTTAATGATGAGCTCAGCTTTGGGGAGTTGAAAGGATTTCCATTTAATGAGGAGCACTGCCTCATTTTGTAGCAAAAGCAAAGGGAGCACTCTTCAGGGGATTGCCTCTAGAGTAAAACACAAAAAAATCCTGTCTGGCATTGAAAATCCTTCACAACCTGGCTCTCCCCTCCCTATCCAGGCTTATATCACATCACTGTCCTTCACAAACTCTATATATCCATCATTCCCTGTCTTCTCTCCCAGCCTTTGCCCATGCCTGGAACGCACTCCTCCTCACCTAGACCTTTTAACCTAGCTCCTTCAGAGAGCTCCCCTATGGCACCACCATCTCCTACACAAAGTTCTTCCTACCAAGTCCCTTTCCTCTGATATTACCCTCCATTACACTGTGTATCTCTGGTATGTATGTAATTGTTTGCATATTGTCTTCCCCATTGGAATATGAGCTCTTTGAGAGGAGGGTCAGTATTTATGCCCTTTTTTGTATTTCCAAAGCTTAGTCTGGTACCTAATAGTGCTCAATAAATACTTGTTGGATGGATGGATGGATGAAGGCTTTTGTTACTGTTAAGGAATGTGGCAAGATAGGTGACTTGTCCATAAAAAAGAAGTAATATACATTCCTATTCTAGAGTCAGCAGGGGGAGAGGAACCATTTCTAGAGAAATAGGTTGGGTTCTACTTGTTTACTTGTGTCTTTCCTTTTTTGATTTGTTCTGGGTCTTTGGACATACTCTGTGTGATTTGGGCATTTTGGCTCCCCTCCCTAAACCTTTGGGGCACTGGAAGGAGAAAAGAAGTTAAGATTTTCATTCCAGAGTACAGCTAAAGGTCCGGGAGAGGAGATCAGAACCTCAGGCTAATCTTTCCATATTTATTACTTCCAAGTTTTCTGGTCCACAACTTAGAGTGTATAAAATTAAAGAGGGAGAGAGAGAGAGGGAGAGGAGGAGGAGGAGGAGGAAAGAGAGAGAGAGAGAGAGAGAGAGAGAGAGAGAGAGAGAGAAAGAGACAGACAGACAGACAGACAGACAGACAGGCAGACAGGCAGAGAGAAAGATTGAGAAAGAGAGATTCAAAATTAGCATCTGATTGGGGTTATTGGGGCCATAGAAGAAATGTCACTAGTAACTTACATCTACTTTGGTACCTTAGAGGTTACAAAGCCTTTTATTCTCAACAATGGTAGTTGAGAAGAAAGACTCAGAATAGACTCCTATCAGCCTAGATAGACTAAATAATTCACTCATGGTCACACAGCTAATAGATATGAGAACCACAGCAAGACAGTCTACATTAGAGTTTCCATATGTATGATGGAATTGTATAGCCCGGGGTTGGGGAACCTGTGGCCTCAAGGCCACAAGTGGCCTTCTAGGTCCTTGAGTGCAGCCTTTTGACTGAACCTAAACTTGACAGAACAAATCCCCTTAATAAAAGGATTTATTTTGTAAAACTTGGACTCAGTCAAAAGGCTGAACCTGAGGACCTAGAAGGCCACATGTGGCCTCAAGGCTGCAGGTCCTTCCCCCCCCCCCTCCCGTGTAACCAGGTCACTGAGCACAGAATCCTGCACGTAGCAGCCCTCAACACTTGTTTGTTGATAGTGGTGATGAATAACTGCCCCTCCCCATCTCTGCTGAGCTCAGAATAAAAGCACAACAATTTTCACTGCAGAAAAAATACATTTAGATCGTATGATAGGAAGAACATTGAGACTTCAAAATTTGTAAGAGAGTGGAATGCCTTTCCAGTGGAACTTTGAGGATGAGGCTAGAGAGACACAGGCACAGGATAGTTGAAGTGCTGTGTTGTCTGGAGTTAGGAGCATTTCTCTCTTAATGCCCTAGGAAGCCTGAAACATTTCTTTCCATTCCAGAGCATGAAATACCCTTGTGATATATGGCAGTTAAAGGTTCCCAATCAGTCACTCTACATTAATCAATGGTCATTCCATATCAAACAAGCAATCAGTAAGCATTTGTGAAGTACCTACTATGTGCAAGACATTGGGGATACAAACATAAGTGAAAAAATCCCAGCCGTCAAGGGCTTTACCTTCCAAAGGGAGAGACAACACACATATATACAGAATAAACACAAGATAATTTCTGAGGGAGGGATCGAGGGAAAGGAGAGGGGTTTGCTAGCACCTGAGGGGTAGGGGGAAAATTTGTCAGCTCAGTGGATTGTAATACATGGAATATATATAGTAGTTAAATATATAATTAGAATGGGGTGACCAGAGCTTTGCCTAAGGGTACTGAAATTTAGGGGGTACTAATAGTACTTTTTAGCTTGCAGAAAAAAACAGATCTTAGTTTCTAGTTGGTTTTGTCCAGTGGTTTTCAGTCGTGTCTGACTCTTTGTGACCCCATTGAGGATTTTCTTGGCAAAGATGCTGGAGTAGTTTGACATTTCCTTCTCCAACTCATTTGACAGATGAGGAAACTGAGGTAAACAGGGTGAAGTGACTTGCCCAGGGCCACACAGCTACCAGATTTGAACTCAGGAAGATGAGTCTTTCTGACTTAAAGGCTGGGACTCCATCCGTTGTGCCACCTAGCTGCCCCTAGTATCTAGCAAGCAAGAGTAATTGGTTGAAATAGAAAGCTGCCATATGGCCCACTTCCCTCTCCCTCCACCTCATGTCTGCACACCAGGTTAAGTTCCTCCTCAACTGTTTCCCTTCTCCATGGTATCTGACCTAGTAGTGGTCATTTGGTGTTCTAGGGTCTCTGACTTCCCCCTGTGGAGCACTATCTCAGGATCTCTTCCCCCATGAAGTCTTGTGACCCAAGGTCTCTCCCCCAAGGCTCCACTCACTCTCAACTAAATTTGTCTTTAAAAAGTTGATTTGAGGATATATTTCATGATATTTGCCTTGAGCACAAGAATTTCTAGTTAGGATTCAGTAGAGCAGTGCTGGGATGCCTTATTCCACACATTTGTATAATTCTGTGAGGTTGTATGTAAGTGAATGTTTGAAAGTCATATCAGCTTTTTAAGGTGAGCTTGCAAGTTAAAAAAAATTCTACGTGGATCTTTGTAAAGTGAAGCCTACTTTTGTAAAAATGAATGAATTTGGATTGCTGAATGTGAGCTGTTCAGCCACGGGGGTAGGCAGACATTAAGCTCCTCTGACTTCATCAGGCCTCTCCAATGCCTTGCAATGAGATTTTTTTTCAAGTTTAGACTTAGCTTTTGTGCTTCAGTTCCCTCAATTTATGAAATGATGGAGTTGGTCTACTTCTAGACTATTTTTTTCTTTTGATTTTTAAAACATTTTTATTTAAAGTTTTGAGTTCCAAATTCTATCCCTCTCTCCTTCCCCTCCCCTACCCCTTCCCTGAGACAGTAAGCAATCAGATATAGGTTATACATGTGCAATTATGTAAAACATTTCCACATCAGTCATTTTGTACAAGAAGACTGGAATAAAAGAAAAGAAAGAAAGAAAGTGAAAAACAGTGTGCTTCAGTTTGTATTCAAATCGTATCAGTTCGTTCTCTGGAGGCGGGTAGCATGCTTCATCATTTAGTCCTTTGGGATTGTCTTGAATCATTGTATTGCTGACAATGGCTAAGGCATTCCTAGTTCTGCATGCAACAATGTTGCCGTTACTGTGTACAATGTTCTCCTGGTTCTGTTCACTTCACTCTGCACCAGTTCATGTAAGCGCTCTAGACTTTTTCTAATGTCCTTTTTAACTCTCTGAAAGAGTGTTCCCAGTTCAAGGAAACTTGGCACTCATTGGTTTTGGAATCCTCCCCGCCCCCGTACTTGCTGAAAACTTTGAGCAGCCTCTCCTTCCAGTGTCCAGCAGGTATAGGGAGCCTCCCTCCAGTGATTTTGGTTTCTTTCTCCACATAGGTCAACTTGGGCTCCCTTGGGTGACTACATCGCTTCGAACACAGATGAATGCACGGCCACGCTGATATATGCTGTCAACCTGAAGCAGTCAGGCACTGTGTCATTTGAATATTTATACCCGGACACTGGCATCATCTTTGAATTTTTCGTAAGCTCTCAGCTAGAGGGGTTTGCTGGGCTTGTCAAGGGCTTAAATCTGTTTGTTAGGAACCATTAGGGAAGAGCTGTGCAGGCAGTGAAGATTAAGTGGGACTTTTTTTCAGTTTGATGCCATGAGGTCTATGGATGGTAATGAGGACCAACCTCAAAGGCTATAGGGGAACTGGGGGAACATACCAAACCTGGAAGATACCATGGAGGAGGATGGGGTGGGTGGGAAGGAAAGCAGAACCTGAGAGGTTTCTGAGTGTTTTGATTTGGGCTGATATGAAAATCATATGTAAATTAAATTATTGTTTTTTTATTTTAATGAGACTATAGTATTACTATAGGATCTAGAAGTCTCTGTTTTAAGGAGCAAAGGATTCCTGGTTTCCACTTCCCAATCAGAGCTATTATTCTCAAGTAAATTGGTAACTTGTTTCCTGTCAAAAAGACCACCTAAAAGTCTATTAAGAGTTGTGAGCTAGTATGGTCTTGGGTAAAAAATGAATACACTCATTCCCTAGGGAACTTGAGCCCTGATTTCATACTTCCTTCTGTCCCAGGTTCAGAATGATCAATGTCAACCTAACATAGAAGACTCCAGATGGATGAAAACTACAGAAAAGGGGTGGGAATACCATAGTGTAAGTATGATGCTAGCCTTCTTTCTGGGCATAGCAAAACAAAACCAAAAACTTTTCCTCCCAATCAATGCTCCTCATTAGTCTGTGCCTCCATTCAAAAGTTACTGGAGTACTGGAGGATTGTGGGGGGAAAAATCATGCTCTCTTTTCTCTGAGACTGGTGCACAAGGGTGGGACTCTCCCATCCATATGGATTTGATCAGGCCATTGGACAGTTTCCCGTCTCTAGGTGCTGATTTTCCAGATACTGAAGATGGAGAGACACAGGTGGGAATGAGGGAATGGGAGTCGCTGTCATTGGCAGAAACCCTGCTGGAGTCACCAGAAAGGGTTGTCAATAGAGGATGTGGCTGGAATCACAGTAAAAGAGGTCATGAGAGGAATGGTGGTGACAGGAGACTTGGTAGGAGAGGTGAATTGGGAAGGAAGTACAAGATTTAATATTGGTGTGATCCTGGGCAAGTTCATTCTTCTATCTGGGCTTCAGTTTTCACTTCTATATAAAATAAAGGGGTTGGACTAGGTAATAGATAAGGTTCCTCCCACCTCTAAATCCTTGGGTGGATGGGGCAGGGGGAGGATACTAGGCAGGTGTCCCCCAAGGCTCTGTTCTGGGATGTCTTTTCTCTCTACACTCTCTTCACTTATGACTTTATCATCTCCCATTGGTTCAATTCTCTATGCAGAGAATATCCAGCCCTAGTCTCTGTCTCTGTCTCTGTCTCTCTCCCTCCCCCACCCCCAGCTCCAGTCCCACCTAATCAAATGCCTATTGGACATTTAAGACTGAATATCCCACAGGCATTTCAAACCCAACAGGGCCAAAACAAAACTCACCATCACCCACCCCCATTTCCAAATTTTCCTATTTCTCTCAGAGGCACCTTCTATCCCTCAGAACCTTAGTGTCATCCTTGGTTCCTGTGAACCTTGTCATTTCTACCTCCATGCCATCTCCAGCATACATCCCTTTCTCTCCACTCATAGAGCCACTGCCCTAGCCATATCATCTCTCACCTGGACCTTTGCAAGAGCCTCCTAATTGGTCTGTCTGTCTCTGCCACTCTGCCCCCTGCCCAGATCCTTCTTCCAGCCAGTGACCGTTAGTCATTGAATGGACATTGCCTGGGAAAGACCTTAATTTAGAAAGGCCAAGGTCATCCGCTGCATCCCTGGCCACGGCCAGTCCTCTTAACTTTTGTCCTGCCACTGGACTTCAGTGACTCTGGAGGAGAGAGTCAGACTGACGACTTGGCTCAGCTCTGCCTCACTTAAATCCAGTTCACCAGCACGTCAAGATATCACCTGTGATGTACAAACAACAACACAGCTTCCAAAGTGATTTTCCTAAAGTGCGGCTCTGACCATGTCATCCTCCTCTTCAGCAAATTCTGGTGGCTCACAACTAGCCCTAGGATCAAACCAAAACTGATCGGCATTTGGAATGTCTCACAACCTGACCCCCTCCAGCCTTTACTCCTCTCCCCCTGTGCACCCCACAGTCCAACCAAAGGGGCCTTCTTGCTGTTCCTCACAGATGACTCTCTGTGACTCCCCATCTCCAATCTCCCTGCCTTTGCATGGCTTCTCCCTCAAGGTTACCTTGCATCTGGTTTGCAAGCATGTTGTATATATGTGTCTGTTGCCTGCCTTGATGGAATGCACGTTCTTTGAGGACAAGGACTGGTTTCCCCTTTGTCATTGTATCCCCAGTGTCAGGCACATAGTAGGTGTTTAATAAATGCTTGTTGATCGACTGACTGATTGTTTGATAGGCACTAGGGATAGGAAAGAGGGGAGGAGAGACTGTGGTTTAAGGAGCTTGGAGGAGAAGTTGGTCAAGGGACTGGAGGCAGGATCTTTGGTGTGTTCATGCCTTCCCATTCTGGGGAGTGACTCCTTCTGCTCATGTCCTCAGGTGGAGTTAAATCGTGGCAACAACGTTCTGTATTGGAGAACCACAGCGTTCTCAGTCTGGTCCAAAGTCCGCAAGCCTGTGCTAGTGAGGAATATCGCCATTACAGGTACAGAATGTGGAGCTCAGATTCAAGGCTCCTGTTGGCTTCCTGGCACCAGGCTAAGCCCAACCCTTGACCCGAACTGTGCTCTTTCTCCACAGGGGTTGCCTACACTTCAGAATGCTTCCCTTGCAAGCCTGGTACCTATGCTGCCAACGAGGGCTCCTCTACCTGCAAGCTCTGCCCGGCAAACTCTTACTCCAACAAGGGAGAAACCTCGTGCCATGAGTGTGACTCAGACAAATACTCAGGTGATGTTTCTAAAAGCTAAGGGAGTTGGAGGTACCACCAAACCCAAGGACACACCATGGAGAGAAAGGCAAGTGGCCATTCTCTTGGCCAGGCCTTTACATGGTGGCTCTCAAAATCAACCTTTCATGGCAGATCCTGGCAGTTCCCTACAATTCCAAAGAGATGATATCTGGACTGAGTTTCCTAAACTGAAAAGTGCTTTTTCAATGAGAGTTGCTATCATTATGTCCCACTCAGCTTCTCCAAAAACAAAAATAGAACCAGAATCCCATTCCTATACTGATTTGAAAGGAAAGGTGGTTCAGTTCAAAATGGCTTCTTTCCATAGCCTCCTGATAATTTCCCATCCCTAGCCCTCAACTTGAGAAACACTGCCTGGAGGGGAGGAAATTGAGTTCTGCCCAGTGCAAGTGTTCAGGACAGTCTCTCACATGTGAAGGGGGCAGGGGCAGGGAAGAGGGAGGGCAGGGGCAGAGGACAAGGGGCTGACATAGAGGGGAGAAAAGAGTTCTAATATCTCTCGACTATTCAGGCCTGGCTTCCACAGTCTTCAAGACTAGATCTGAAATAAATTGAAATGGGTAGAGTGACATTTTCCCTCATTTGTCTCCCTTACACAGCCAAATTCAGGCCCAGCAAATATACCTACAAAGATCTGTAGCCCCAGAAGCTAAGTCAAGCACACCACCATATTCACCTTTTCATTCAAGCATACCATTCCATATTCACAAGTCACCCATTAGAGTGTTTGCTCAGTTAAGAATGGAAATTGACCTGACTCACTCACTATTGATAAAATGGAAAGTATTTATTCATTATCCGAGATCTTGCCAGCTTAGTAGAGGGCTAGACAAGAAAAGGAATGTTTAGGTCTGGCAAACAAACTGTTTTCTCTGTATGTCTAAATTCCTGTTTTTCCACTTGGATTTCTTATTCTGCTTCCTCCTGTGCCTCCATCAATGGCAGCCTTTGTTGTTCTGGGTCTCAGGCTCCCCTCTCCAGCCCACCAGTTGTGCAATGGTTTGAATGACAAGGCTGTGACAGAATTGCCCGGTTCTATCTTGACGATGTAAATCAGTTTGCAGCCTTAGGTTTGTGAGTTAGTTTGAGAATCAGGATTCTGTGATTCCCTTCTTCTGCCTCCAACTGAGAAGTCAGCCCTCGAATGTAAATCTTTTGAATAGGAGCTGGGTCTTTTCAATCTGTTTGGATTATGGAGAACGTGGTTAGCACTTTAGCCTGGAGTGCATCATGATGGACTCCAAGAAGAAGCGGAATGGGGACAGAAGAAAGGGAACAAGCATTTACACAGCAGCTACCACGTGGCAGGCACTGTGCTAAGCACTTTAGAAATATCTCATTTGATCCTTAGAGTATCCTTGCGAAGTAGGTACTGTTATTATCCCCATTTTACAGATGAGGACACTGAGGTGGACACAGGTTAAGTGTCTTGCCCAGGGTCTCACAGCTAGTAAGTGTCTGAGGCAGGATTTGAACTCGGGTCTTCCTGACACCAGGCCCAGCCCCTTATCTACTGAGCCCCCTAGCTGCCTTAAGCATTAAGGGAATACAGTGACTGACTACATTTAGAACTCAGTATGAAATTGAAAGAACTCTGGCCCTGAAGCCAAAAGGTGTAGGCTCCAGGCCCAGCTCTTCCACTTACTTTGTTTTATGGGTGCAGATGAGCCCCTTAACTTCTGAGCTTATTTCCTCATCTGTAAAATGAGGAGGTTGGATGAGATGACCTTTAAAGTCACTTCCAGCTGTTACGTGAAATGATCTTGTAACTCTTTGATTGTAATTCTGTGGTGATCTGGCTGTTTTCAGCTGAGAAATGCTAAATGCTCTCCGAATCAAATAGAGTCCAGTTGGTCAAGGGCCTACTTCATTATGAAACATTTGCTCATTCCCCTCAGCTGTAACGGTCCTCTTCTCTCAAAAATTACCGTGTATCTACTTTGTATTTATTTTCTGTAAGTCTGTATATGTATATGTTGTCTCCCCCATAGAATGTAAGCATTTTGAGGGCAGGGAATGTTTCACTTTTGTCTTTATACCCCCAGCACCCAGCACAATGCTTGTCTCATGGTAGGCTATTATCAAATCCTTGTTGATTAATTGATAGAATATAAGCTCCTGGAGGACAGGGACTGATGTTTTTTGGTCTTTGTATCCCCAGTGCCCAGGACAAAACAGATGTTTAATAAGTGCTTGCTGAACTGAATCTTTGAAATACTGGCAGAGCTAAAGATCACTATAAACTGGGAGATTCACACTTAGTGATTTCCTTGATCCTTATAACATACATCCATTTTAATGAAGCTTACAGGAGAATTGTCTTTTCTGGTGGCTGACCCAGTCTGGCCTTTCATATAGGCAGAGGGTTTGTTGACCTACCTGTTGGAATTTGAGGAGACAGGGTGCCAAAAGGTCGTCTAACCAAACTATTCTCTTGACAAATGCCTGAAATTCTACCATTAGTATATTCATTACTTTGTATTAATCATCACCCTGTAAATACCACAGAGGTGGAGCATCTTAGGGCTAATGAGTTTTTTTGGCATTTTTGCTTTGCTGTGGTGGGATAGCGAGAGGCACCTTAAAAGAGGGAGGGGCTATGAGAAAGGTAGGAAATGGTTCAGAAAGGGGACTGAAGGGCTAAAGAGCTAAACTCTTCACAGTTTTTTCCTGGACCAGCCCTGTTCAAACATTTTCTCTTCCCTCACTAAACACCATATCCAGCCCCTCTCTCCTCTTTAAAAATTGGTGAAACCCTGTTTATGTGCCTCACTGAGACCTTCTGATCACAGAAATTGAATGTGCCGTGACATTTGGGTTAATTATTGATTAAACCAGCTGGCTAGTCAACGAGTCAACAGCTGCAGCATTTCTGTGAAGCCAGGAGTGCGGCTGTCACACAGAGCAAATATTTGCCAAGCCCAAGAAGCCCTCCTTGTCATACAGATGTTATTTTTCAGCAGGTAACCAGGTGGTTTGTTTGGTCCAGTACTCAGAAAAAGGGAGAGAGAAAAAAACAAACAAACAAACAAACACCTAACCCCCAAGGGTCCTGGGAAAGAGTTAATTTTCAAAATCTTCCCCAATCCTTTTTGAATCAAATCCACCAAATTCAAGAGACTGGATCCATTAGCCTTCTTACTGAAGAGGGCCTCTAGCTTGTTAATCTAGTTAATGAGCTGAGAAGGCACCAGCTGCTTCTCTGCCATTAATTCCACCCTGCCGGTGCTAATAAGACTGGAGTTTTGGAGTGCTGGGATATCTGCTGTTTGAGGGAAGCCCTCAAAACATGCTGTCAGAAGAGCTAGTGTCTTAAATAGCCTCTGGTGGTATAGGAAGGGGAAGGGGAGCATTGGGTAGCTCCTTGCATGGGGATGATGAGAAGTGGATATTTTGTCGTTTGCATGAAGCCAGCAAACAAGCATTTATTATGCACATATTACGTTCCAAGCCCTGTGCTAAGTACTGGGGACTCAGAGAAAAAGGGAAAATAATGCCTGTCCTCAAGGAGCTTAGATTGGAACGGAGGGAGACAGTCCATCAACTTTTATTAAGTGCCTGGCACTGTGCTAATTGCTAGAGATACTAATACAGAACAGATAGCCCCTGCCCTTAAGGAGCTTACCATCTAATAAAGGAAGACAATACACAGAAGGCAGCTGAAAAGCCTTTGAAGGGGGTGGAGAAGCATTGGTTGGTGGCTGGGGTGGGAAAGGTAGCCACCCAGTGAAAGAACTCACTGAAGTCTCAAGGTAGTGCAGCTAGGTGAGAAATGAGGAGATGTCTGAGCTCAGATCCTTAAATGGAGGTCTGGCATTCATAGTTCTAGCCTCCTATCAGAGGCTAGAAGTGGAGTCTTAAAGCTGATGAAATCTTACAAGAAAGCATGTACATAAGTAGGTAGATGCAAGACACATCCAGAGTAGATGGAAGGTAGACTTAGAAGGGAAGGCATTAGTAGCTGGGAGATCCAGGAAAATTTTCCTTCCAGAAAATAAGTCTTGAAGGAAGCCAAGAATTCTCTGAACACTGCCAAGTAAGAAAAAGCCCATGTACCTATGTCATAGCTATAGTAAGAGATTTTCATCATCATTACCAACATTTGTTAAATGCCTTTACAATGTTTGGGGCCTTGTACTAAGAAAGCTACACAGAAGCAGTCTGTGCCTTCTAGGATCTAAAAATTGGAAGCAGATACAGATCTATAATGAGCATGCAATACACAAACTTAGGGTATGCTAGATGAAGTTTTCAAGCCAAGTATCAAAAGCAATACAAGGGTGGTGGAAGTAAGAGACAGAAGAGTTTTAGTCTAAATCCAAGTGGGGTTGGAGGGAATCACCTCTCTTCTGATTTGTTTGGAAAGCTTGCATGGAAGAAGGGGGAAAAAACTGCTTTGCTAATGGAAGAGAGACTATTTGCTGATTTGGGAGAGAGGGCATTCCTGGAATGTGGGCATCTCTTTGAGAGCTAGAACATCTACCTTAAAGATTCTCCAGTCTTACGCTCTCTTTTTACAGAAGCTCAGTGACTCAGTATAGTGTATATGGGAGGAAGCCCATAGGCAGTAGTCAAACAATCATATAAAGAGGACAAGCCTTTCTTCAACCACAGAGTAGGAGAAGGGAACCGTGCCCAGGCAGAGATTATGAGGAGAGTGCTGCAAAGATCTGATAGGATAATAAGCCCATACTGATTTGGAGCCAGTCCCTTGGCCAAGCTGATTCCTTGACTCTCTTCACCGCTCCCCATCCTCCATGCATCATCTTCTGCAATGATTGAGAGTCATTCTAAGGACCCCACATTTATAGTTCAATGGGACTTTAGAGGTTGATTGGCCCCATACCATCATTTTATGAATGGGGAAACAGACCTAGCAGATAAATGCCTTCACCTAGCTAGTAGCCACACAGTTGGTATACAATCCTGGTCTTCTGACCAGCAGTCTTTCCACTCCATGTAATCAGTGCTTTGTTACAAGCTAGTAATAGGAGAACTAGGTGCCATTTGTCTGACCCTGCCTGGGGGTTTAGTAGGGAAGTGAGAGGTGGAGAGGTGTGGGCTCTCAGCAGCACCTGTGCAGGTGAAATGTTTGCTCTCACAAGCCAGTGAAGAAAGACTTCTGTATTCCTAACACACGCTATGATATTTTCCTTTGCTTTTGGTTTGTAGAACAAGGATCCTCTTCTTGCAAGCTGCGTCCAGCTTGCACCAACAAAGATTATTTCTACACACACACAGCCTGTGATGCCAATGGAGAGGTAGGTACAGTGATCACAAAGCTTGTGTGTGCTCGCTGTGTGACCTTGGGCAAGTCACTTAACCCCAATTGCCTTAAAAAAAAACAAAACAGAAAAACAAAAACAGAAAAACCCCAAAACAAACAAAGTTTTTGTGTGTCTGATAGAAGCCAGGCCGGGCTCTACAGGCAGCCTATCGCTATAGGTGTCCAGTAAGAGGCCAGCAATGCTGAGCAGTCTCCCCACCCCAAGGGAGTCCCTGGGAAGATCCCAGGACAGATGGGAAAGTTAAGTGAGATGACAGATGTCTCAGTAAGTGGGGGGAGAAGTTCCTTTTGGGTGTTATTATTTTGGGGCCAGAGGCTGGTTTTGTTTGGATCATTTTTACTGCTCGTTAAATCCTGCTGTGATAACAGAAATCATTTAATTTGCTTTGGAGTCACTTTTTTCATCTGCTTAGCTTGTCTCTGTAATCCCTGACTGATAGGCAACTGAGCATGACCCCCTCTTCCTACCACCACCACCACCACCCCCTTTGGTGAAGCCCCTTGAACAAATTTCCTAACAGAGAAAACCTCACACGCTTGCACTCTGCCAGCTGCTTTCTCAATTTAGTGGACGGGTTTGGTTCCACCTACATGCTTCAGTGGGGGTTACTTAGATTCTGGGAGTATAAGGAGTGTGTGTGTGTGTGTGTGTGTGTGTGTGTGTGTGTGTGTGTGTGTGTGTGTGTGTGTGTGCGTCTGTGCTTATCCCAAAATCTGAATCTGCCCAAAAGAAAATGAACATTCTTCCTTTGCAGCTTGGATTGTTCTTCTGGTGGGTCACTGGGTCATAGATTGACAGCCAGAAGGAACTCTAGAATCCACCTAATCCAGTCCCTTCCTCGTACATATATGTAAACAGAGGCCCAGAAAAATTAAGTGAATCACCCCATTGGAGCCCTGGTAGTAAATGGCAGATCCAGGATTTGAACCCAGGTCCTTTGATTCCCAGTTCAAGTATATTTTCCACTGCATCATGACATAAAAGCAGCTTCCTGAAGTGTACAACGAGTGCTGGACTTTGAATCTGGCAGACTCAGGTTTGAGTAATAGCTCTGACATTTACTAGTTCTGTGAAAATCTCTGAGCATCAGTTTCCTCATCTATAAAGGCGGGGGTGGGGGAGGAGTGTGTGATAATACCTGTTGTCCCTAGTAAACTAGGGTTACTAGGCAGCCCAGCTGAAGTAATATGTACAAAGCATTTTTGCAAATTTTAAATGGCTAGATCTGTAAACATTGCAATGATTTTAAGACTTCCCTACCCATCCATGGCTGTAAGGGTTTTTTCCCCCTTCTCAGCAGGCAAGAAAATCTGGGTTTTTAACTTGGCAGCCACACTTTGAAAATCTTAAACATAAAGATAGGTTGGGCTGATACACATAGAAATCTCATTTAACAAATGAATTTTGATAGAACCAAAATGTCTGCAAAAGATAACTTAGCTATTAAATTCTATCACTGATGCAATGTTATATCTTTGATCTGCTCCTTAATTTTACAATGGTTAATTTAAAAAGAACAAATTTCAATTGTAAAGATGTTATTCAAAGTCAGTAATATATTTCACATGTGAATTAAAATTTGCTTTTACCAAGAGAAAAATATTGCACCTTGCAGTTCATACTCTCTTTCACTGTTTTTAAATTTTAAATACAAATACAAATTCTAAGTGGTCACAGAGAATGACAGAATTGAAGTACTTCAAATTCACTTTCTTTGTCTTTAAAATACCTACTGGAGTAAGCTCGGGCCAACTTGAAAAAGGCCACCAGTGTGAATGGCACCAGAAGATACTATCTGTAGAAATTATTAACTGGAGAGAGTTTCTGATCACGGGGAAATAGGAATCACCAGGCTATCTCTTCATTTGGAATCTACTGTTTAAATGCAGGAATATGTAGGACTGTTCCCGAATTGAGCTCGAACTGTTTGGACACCTAGGAATTTAGTCTTGAACGGAAGCTTATGACAGAGTCTGAGAGTTTCAGGGCCGATTGCCATCCTGCAGAAACTGTTTAAAAACTAAAGTTTTTTAGAGGGAGGAGTAGTTTATTGCCGACATTGTTTGGAATCGTTGGCACGTGATGGTAATGAAAAGCAGACTGTTAATCAGTTTTATTGCTGTTTTAAAATTATCTACAGATAATTTTACTCTCTAATTTTGTGTACCCAGGGCATGCAGCTTCCACTGTCCAACCCTTGGTATGTCAGAGCTACCAGGTCCTCTGGTCACTGTGAACCAGTGCCCTGAACCGAAGAAAACCCAAGGCTAAAATCCAACGCAGATAATCAGGTTTTGGAAAATTAAGGAGCCTCCTTAAGAGATCTTAATACAATGTCAGTCAACAAGTGATTAATGAATTAATCAGAGTGATTAATATATTAAGTGCTTACTCCTGGAAGGCACTGTATTAAATACTACTGTGGGTATGAAGAATGGCAAAAACAGTCCCTAACATCAAGGAACTCACCTTGTAAAAGTGCCATGTAGATTCTGGATGCCTAGCTCTTCCTAACTCAGCCCTTCCTTGGGACTTAAGGTTCTGCTCGATCATTTGACGTGTCTTCTATTCTCAGACGCTCCAGTGGGTCAGTGATCTCATTGGCATGGGTTATTCTTTCAACAGTGCAGATGGCAGCCCCCTCATGCCGTCTCATCCTGTGAAATTCTTGTCCATGTCCTGCTATGGAGCTCTCTATAGGGGAGCCGTTCAATGCACTAGGGACCTTCCTCTGGGTTTTGAAAAATGGAGGTGAATGCCTTTTTTCTCTCCCTCTGTTCTATTTTTACCTATGTGACTCCTTTGCTGAATTATCACCCAGACCATACAGCCCATTCCCCTGTAATCATGCCTCTGTCCTGGACCCTCTCTCCATTTTTTCTTAGTGACCATATCAGTTTCCATGGGTTCAATTATCATCTCCATGCATATAATTCCCAAATCTAGATAAACAGCTCTCATCTCTCTCCTGAGTTCTAGTTCCTCACCATCAATTGACTATTAGACACTTCAAACCAGATGTCTCAAAGGCATGTCCAAAATGGAATTCCCATTTCTCATCAAGCCCTTTCCTATATGGAACTTCCCTGTTTCCATAGAAGATACTATTCATCCAATCTCCCAGGTTCATAAACTTGGCTTTATTCCTAGTTCCTTATGCTCCCCAACTCTACATATCTGATCAGTTGCCAGATCTTGTTTCCATATCCACAACATCTTTGGCATATGTCCTTTTCTCTCCATTCATAAAGCCACCGCTCTAGTTCAGGTCCTCATCATGTAAAACCTTACCATGTAAACACCTAAAATATTTCAGTAGCCTCCTAATTGATTTCCCTGCCTCAGGACTCTCCCTATTCCAGTCCATCCTCCACAGAGTTGCCAAAGTGATTTTCCTACAGCACAAGTCTAACCACATTACCTCCCTAATTCAGTAGGCTCAATGGCTCTCTACTGCCTCTAGGGTAATATATGAATTCTCTGGCCCTTTACAGTTTGACCTCAACTTATCTTTCCAACCTCTTTATATGTTACTCCCCTTCCTGTATTTTATAATCCATCTATACTGTCATTCTCTATGTCCCTTGCGCACAGAACTTCATCTCCCATCTCTAGGCCTCCATTTTGCTTGTCCCCCATACTTGCAATACATTCCCTCCTCACCTTTGCTTCATAAAATCTCCAAGACTAAAGTTTAAACACCACTTTCTATATGATTTGTTGCTAAGAATATTTTGGTATATATGGGAGCTTTTTTTTTTTCTGTCTTTGACATCCCTGGGTGAAAGAGTATGGATATATTAGTCACTTGTTTAGCATGATTCTATATTGCTTTCCAGAATGGTTGTGCCAATTTACAACTCTACTAATAGTGGAGGCAGTGGTGTGCCTGTCTTTTGCAACCCTTGCAACATTGACTATTTCCCATCTTTTGGGGTAATATCTTTTATGCCCCTTCTTGCACACATCACTAATAACATGCTACAACCTAGTGGCACCCACAGGCCGTTTTACCATTACCCTTTGGCTCCCCTGCAAACCTGATCCTTCTGAGAGGGTAGTGTTCCATGAGTCACAGCCATATGTAGCATCAGATAGCTTTCTTCTATAACTACAGAATAAAGGCAGTTGCCACATTTCAAGGCTGGTGTTACTTATCCCCTTGCCCCAGTTGACTATCCATTTTCCTAAGTAGTTTCTGAGGAACTCAAGGGTCCTATCCATTAATTCCATACCATTGATCGATCTATCTAAGTTGATTCCTCTGCTTTTCCAGATTCTTTTTTTTTTTAGGCAATTGGGGTTAAGTGACTTGCTCAGGGTCACACAGCTAGTGTCAAGTGTTTGGTCTGAGGCCAGATTTGAACTCAGGTCCTCCTGACTTCAGGATTGGTGGTCTATCCACTGTGCTACCTAGCTGCCCCCCCCAGATTCTTTTTCTAAGGAGACCTCCTGAGGTGTCACCTCTCATGGAAAGGGTGCCATTATAGGGTAGTACATGAAATATGACCCTGGCATTCTGGGCAACTGGGTTCTCTTCACAGCAAGTGTGATTTGATTAAGGGTGGGAGCCAACATTCACCAGAATCATTAACATAGGATTTTTGTCATTTCTTTTTCAAAAAGTGATGATGCATGATTTATTTAGCATAGTGAATAGAGCTGACAGATATTTACATTATTCATCCATTACTTCTATGTGTATGATTTGATTAAAATCATAGATATTTTCAATCACAGACAGCATCAATTCAAATTGAAATGAAAAAAAAAAGGGGGGGGGGTTTCTGTACTTGCCTCATGACCAAGCATGGAAAATCTCAAGAGACACATTTGGCTCTCGCACCACAGTTTGAAATCTCTGCCTCACAGCTTCCCTGAGTAGGCTCCGTGGCCTTATTCAAATCACTTTTTTAAAATGTTCCTATCATGGGCAGTCTTGACTTAAGAAGACTAGTAGTCAAACGTGTCAT